TTATCTTCACCTCTTTACTTGTTTTTATAAAAGAGTTTTCGCTCCCGTGGAAACTTGTATGTGGGGGGAGACACACAAAATTAATCAAAGCTTTCGCCACATTCATTGATGGCTGCGTGCCGTCTCTTTTATTGGGCAACGGACACCTCTCTTCAGAATATCTCTTCATTGAGCATTTGCCTTTGGATCTTTCAAAAGTAATGATACTTCCTGTTTTACTTTTCCTTGCTAAGTGGAGAAGTAGCCATACATGCCATCCAGTCAAAGAGCCCATGAATTTTAAGATGTAGGCCAATTTCAGAGATGTTAACCAGAAAGACCAAAAATGTGTACCTTGGAATGGATGAAATATAGTATGTGTCCTTTACAAAGAATTGACAAACTCTTGGGAGGTATAAAGTAGATAATAAAAATATGTCATAATATCACCACATGCAGATGATATCATTCGTGACTATTAGGTCGAATTCCTTCTAGTGTTTCTTTCTGTGTGTGGTAATATATGTTTATTTCTTTTTAGAAAATATCAAATATAATATTTGGCATCTTTTTTTCAATATTCTTATATCTTAAACATTTTTTTCTTATTAAATATTCCTTGAAAATAGGTTATTTAAAAGTGGCTGAAATAGTAGACCCTTATTTTTGGTCATTGACTTCGTTTCCAGTATTTTGATATCGTTCATCCACTGGGCTCTGGTGAACACCTTTGCACGTGGGTCCCTGTCTGCAGCCGTGGTCATTTCTTTAGTGAAAATTACTAGAAGTGGGATACCTGGGGGAGGGGTGAGAGCGTGGCTATTTGAAAACCGCCCCTTTTATACTGCCCTTCCTTGGCCTACCTGCCTCACTGCCGTCCGACCCCGGCAGCGCCTGGCTGTCTCCTCAAAGTGGCCCCTTGTGCCAGCAACCGGTGCTGGGGGCCGGGTGCCCCGCGGCCTCCTGGGCCCGCCTCGTGCCCCTCACCTCCGGAGCTCGGCGCTGACTGCTCCCCTCAGGGTCCGCTGGGCAGATTTATCCAGATGCTGCCCTTTCAGGACAGCCAGGCACGTGGCAGCCTTCAGTAAACTCACCCCATCGCTACTGCATCCAGCACCATCCCTGGCTGTTTCTGCCTTATCGGCCCCTTTTGTCTAAGACATAGTGTTGAAAGGAGTTTCCATCTTTCTCTGTATCCCATGGACTGTCTCATTGGGAGTCTAGGGAGGGGGCGGGTGGAGGCCTGAGTCTGTGTTGACATCTTGCCAGGACGCGTCCCCTTTCCCCTTTCACTGGCTGTTAAGTTCTGAAAATGTTCTCAGTCATGGATGTCCTCGCATCTAGGAAAAATAAGGTCATAAATATTAAGATTGAGGGATGAGAATGGACAGGTGAGCACAAATGAAAAGCTTCAGTAACTGTGTGGGGCTGGGAAGATTGGATTTCAGTATTGGCCTTATTTCGCGCAGGGGCGCCTTCGGCAGAGCCCTTGATTGTTACTTTAAGACATTTGGGTTGAAATGGCCCCGGTGACACAGCGGGCCGCAACACCAAGGGAGCGAGGGCTGTTACATTCAGAAGGCCTGCTGCTTGGGCTTCTTGGTGGGAAGGGGATCTCAGGAAGAGAGGCCTGAGTGTTAAAACCAAGAAAGTCCTGGGGGTGAATGGGTCACTGTCGTGCACCTGTGCACCTGTGGTCTTGCGTCTATGAGATGAGATTTCATGCTACAATGAAAGCCTGGAGCTCTGTTCACCCGCCATAGAACACACAGCCTTCGTCAGCAACGGGTGAGAGCTTCTTGTCTATCTGTTTTGTTGAATACATTCTACAAACTCCGATTCTGCTTGAATACAGAGTCAGCCAACTTTTAGCTGTATTCTAAGATGGCGGTGGCAAACGGATGTTCTTTAATGTTTTCTTTCTAAAAAACTGTTAGAAGTCCACTTTTAAAGTTCAGAATGTCTTTAGTACACCCTTGGAGAAGTACAATCCACGAAGCTTGAGCCACTTTTATAGGCTTTGAGTTTTAGATAAATTAGAAGCTCTTAAATGAAAATTATAGGGTTCTTTCTGAAAGTCATAAAGGATTAGAGACAGTTGGGAGCAATTGAAAGTTTTTCGATTAGAGAGTTGCCAAGGATTTAAATAAAGGTGGAAGCCTCAACGTTATTACTTCGAATGTTGTGTTTGCCACGTGGCCTGCATCAGATCCTTTGCCCCCTGGTGGAACAAAAGCACATCACAAATCTGTTCATTAAGATGATTTCCCCTCTTTATGATGTCTGTGGATCCTAGTATTTTAATCAATTGATTAATTGATTTTAGACAGAATAAGGAAGTGGGGGGATAGAGAGAGAGATTTGTTGTTCCGCTTATTTATGCATTCAGTGGCTGCTTCCTGTGTGCGCCCTGACCAGAGACTGATCCCCTCAATCTTGGTGTATCTGGATGCCGCCCTGACCTACTGAGCTACCCGGCAAGGGCTGTGGGTCCTAGCATTAATAGCGAAGGAACAGTTAGGCCTTCATTTGGGTAGATGACCATGGCCTTTATGTATGTCTTAGAAATTGTTTCAGCCCTTTATGGAGATCCAGGCTGGGAATCTCCTTCGACCTCTGCTGGTATGTTTGCGTGTTTGACTCTGAACCCGCCGTTACGGAAACTGGTCCAGATCAACCAGGACTTCTCACGCGAGTCCTCAGCCAGACCCTCGGAGAGGGCCAGCTGGAAGAGAGGGTGGGCGCCCGGCCTTCTTCGCGGGCCTGGGGCCGCACTGCTGAGCCCAGGCCTGCCCAGGCTGGGTCCTCTCTGATCCTCCCTGCGAGCCTTCCTTGTTGTCTTTACATTTGATTTTAAAACTCCAGGCGGAGCCCTGACGCTTTCACTTCATCACATTTTGAAATACTGTTCATTTGCGACTCTGGGGACTTCCTGAGCCTTCGGGCGGTTGCTCCAGTGCAAACTGCCGGTGTTGCTCCCGGCCTCACCGCTCCCTCACCGTACTCACCCGGCCTGTTAGCAGGGCCTGTGGTTTCCCCGCAAAACGTCGTGCCTGGAGAGGCATTGCTCGCCACCCCTGCCAAGCCACGGCCACGCCACGGCCAGCTCCTGTGTGGGTGATGCACCAGCTTCTCGACTGGTCTTCTTACTTCAGACCGGGTTCCCCTTCAGCCCTCTCTTTCCCCTAAAGTGGCCTGTTTTAAACTTAGATCACATTTCATCCCTGCTTAAGATTTTCTAAAGGCTCCCCATCATGTCTAGAGTAAAACCCTAAGTTCCTAGCACGGCAGGCAGAGGCCTCTGCAATCTGTTCAGCTTCCCACGTGCCCCTTGCTCACCGCGCTGCCCCTGCACTGGCCTGCCTTCCCCTCCCCCCACCCGAGGGCGAGCCCAGTCCCACGCCCGGTCCTTGGCCCTGTCCGTGTTTCTGCCTGGGATTGTGGAGAACCTGATTTTTTTGGACTTCGCTCTAATGAGTGACTAAATTATCTGGAAGAAGTTTAAATCTTCTAGGGCTTGCTTTTAATCTGTTAGGCCGATCTATAGCAGCCTTTAATCTAAATGCATTTAGCACCACTACTAAGACGAGGCTTTTCCAAAGACTCTATTCATTATCTCCTGTGGTAGGAGCCGTTCTGCTGCTGAGAACACAGCGTGCTCCTGGCCCTGTATGAGGTCTGAGACGTGTTCTGCCTACCGCTTGGTGGCGCTGTGTTTCCTGCCCTTGGGCAGTGTCCCTCCGCATGTGCCCAGGCTTGAAGGACCTTTCTGCAGGTGTCTGCGCTCTCTCTCTCTCTCATTTTGTGTAGGGTCTTCTATCCCAGTCTGCCTTACAATCTCCAGTCTCTGTCTTCACTGCTCAGCAGGAAGGAAAGCTGAACCCTCAGCCTCACCCTCACCCTAACCCTCCCTGCCCTGTGGCTTTGAACCTGTTTTCAGGGGTGAGTTAGGGCAGTCGGTGGGTTCCCCTCCACATCACTTCTCTTGCCTTTGGGACTGTATCTCTAGCTCTGTTTTCCAGGGTCGGAAGCTTTGTTCACTATTTTTGGTCTGTTTTGTAGTTTTAGGTTGGACGGCAAACCTTGTCACTGTTGTTACTGCAGAACGTCCAGAAGCAGGAGTCCTTCAATTGCCATTTTGTGTTTCCATTTTTAGGTTTAGAGATAACAGTGTAGGTTGGTTATGCCAACACGTGAGGGGTGCAGTGGTCTTTGCCTCTTCGTTCAAGTCATTGTCTTTCTTACTCACGTGTTGCTGGGGAGCAGTACTGTTCAGTTGTCTCCTGTGTAACACAGGAAATGACGTGCCACGTGGAGGTGATACAGATTTTGCCTGACGCGCGGTGTGTTTCTTAGAATCTACACCAGCCTGGCCATGGGGGTTCCTTCTGCTGCATGTGGTTTTAGGCCTTTTCTTCTGCGGATGAATTCACCGCCTCCTCCATCCTTGGGTTGTCAGCCCATAGGTCTGAATTCTGTTTTGAGAGCCCGAGCTTTGCAAGGTGCTGAGTTGGTTGGTTTGTTGCCTGGAAAATTGTTAGGGCAAAATTGATACTTTGGGGAGAGAAAGGGGCAGATTTTCAGATGAAAGATATTCAATCCCAAATAATATGAAAGAATTTCAACTTATTCTAAAGGCACAGGTGGACTTAGGTATATCATAAGAAAGAGCAAGGAGTCCAATTCATAAATTTTTAACTCTGTGGGGAGTGGGTATCATAAGAAAAGTAAGATGAGCAAGCACACATCCTGTTTGTTAAGGACAGTCCTGGTGTGCACCTGTTGTCCTGAAATAGTTATTGATAACATCCCCTTCATTCTCGAAAGTGTCATGGTTTTTTTGGTCATTTTATTTACAAAGAATGGTTTGAAGAATACAATGTAATTGTTAAGTTTTTGGCTACTGTTGTTTTTTTGAATGATGGACATAACTGTTTACTTTGTATTTTAGTTCAATAGTATATAGTGACTAATAAGTGTGTGTGTGGTTTTGTTTTTAATTTTTGGTATTTTTCCTGCAGATGATCTCAATGCCACCCACCAGCACTGTGTTTTGGCTGGTTTACCACCTCGGTTTAGTTCCACCCACCGAGTGGCAGAGGTAAGTGTAAATAAAAATGTGAGTCAGATTAATAGGATGTGGCAGAAGTGGTTGAATGAGCAATTTATCATAGAACTTTGGAAGAGTATTTGATAGGAAAATTGCTTCCATCTAACTTGACTTCAGTCCCTGTTTACTTGCTTTTTGGCTTTGAGTTGTATTGGATAGTTTTTAGAAGTGTATTCACAGCGTGGGATAAGTATATTTTGCTTCTTTGGGGTTATGTTTCTTGGAGAAGGTAAGTGCCATTGGCAGGTGTTGCTAGTTGGAGATTTTCTAAGGGGTTTGTATCTGTCAAGGTCAAAGGCAGGAGATGGCCAGAAGGAAATGGGGTGGATTGGTGTGCTTGTGCATGTGTTAGCTGTGATTGGGCTCAGATGGTTGAGAGTTTACATTTCCCTTAATTTTTTGGTCAGGCTTCTGGGCATGTGAATGTAAATGAAGGAGAACATTACACCGAGGCCAAGAAATTTCCAAGCTCCCCAGTTGTGTTTACAACCCAGACTTTATTGCTAAATTCTGCCACCACTTGGAGTGGCTGACGGTCAGATGATTGGACTAGCTCAGTACGGAAACTTAAGTGATGAGGAAACCCTTTGTAGTCACCCCGGGGTGCTGTGCATGCAGTTAGGAAGGGAGCAGAGAGCAGAGGAATAATCATAGAAAGAATTACAGACTGACCTCTTTCCAAGCTTCTTACACGTGCTTTGCTTTGCTGTACAGTTTGACTTTTTATTGTACCACAGTGTGAGGGATTCAGGAGGGATTTAGCCAAGTGGCAGGGAATGTGAGACCTTTTCAGTGCTGAGACCATGGGTCTGTCAGGCCATGCCATGCCTTTTGGTGATTCAGCAGCTTTTCTGGCAGACTGGTCACGTTGGTGGGTGGCAGAGAGGGCATGGCGTCTGTTTCAGTCAAGGTGCCAACAAGCCTATCAGGCATCCCTTCCTCCGTTCTCCTTACCTTCCTGTCCTCTCTCTTCCATTCGCCTGAATATCCGAGGGCCTGTTACATGTCCATCAGCAGCACGGGCTTGAGAGGTACAGCCATCAACACAGCCGTTATGGCCACTGCCTTCACTGAACTTTCATTTTAACTGGGGAGATGAGTATTAAACAAATAAACATGGAAAAATTTATCTTAGAGACCTAATGATTCTGTTAAGAGGCCGGGAAGGAAGGAAGGAGTGAAGGAAAGAAAAGAGTGAGCAAGCATTTGCAGACAATCTAATGTATGCTTTGTGTTGTACAAAAAAGACTTCACTTTTGGACAAGGTGTTTTAGGCATCTGTCTTTCCGGCCATAATCCACTCAAGAATCCTCTTCTGGATCCATTTGAGTGTGTGGCTGCTTAAGTGCATCCTTCTTGCTTCTTTCAAAATCTGATCTGGAAGAGCAGAAAAGCTTAAGTTAAGGAGTAGAGGCTGACGTGTGAAGGTCTCAGGTGAAATGCACGGAGAGGGGTCCTAGGAGGAGGCACGGCAGACGTGGCACTTGCTTATAATCTGGTTTCCTGGTTCACTCTACAGTGCTCGACGGGGACCTTGGATTATATCCTACAGCGCTGCCAGTTGGCTCTGCAGAATGTCCGTGAGGGGGCAGACAGTGGGGAGGTGTCTTTGAAGTCCTTGGAGCCTGCTGTTTTGAAACAAGGAGAAGAAATCCACAATGAGGTGAGGATTTTGAAGAACCATTGAGGGCCTGAGATCCTATCCTACTTGTAAACTTTCAAGTTAATCTGCCATAGTTTCATGTGGCTATAAGACATGAGACTCCCAGAGACAAAGGACATTTTATGACCTAACAGTAATAGCAGTAGCCAGAGTATCACAACTTTTGTGCGAGGTCTCCAAGCCTCTATTTCTACAGGTAGAAATGCCAGGTAGGCCAGAGAGCAAGTGCACATGGAGGGGTTGTGTTGTAGGAGAGGAACCTGAGCTACGGGAACCCAAATCTTTTATAATAGGCAGTAAGCATGCCTGTCCTTTGCTCCAAATCAAGACACTGTCTTTATCCTCTAAGTCTGTTAGCAAACCTGCCTGTTGTTCCAGAAGGAGAAACTATAGCCTCCAAGGTGTTCACTGGACGAACATCCTTGCAATGAGAGTCGGAAACAAAGGACAGTCACTTCCATGCTTATAGTGCAGACACGCAAGAGACCCATGAAAAACAGTCTCCCAGCAGATCTGATGAGAATTGAGGGTGCACTCTGGGAGCAAGTGTCAGCGCCTTGTTTTCTGTTTTGTAGTTCCAGTTCTGCAGTCTGGGAGACCGCAGGTCTGGGTCCCGTGAGTCAGTTTTACAAACCTTACTGTTCTCATTAATACCCTTTCAGGTTTTCTTCATCTTTGAACCACATATACTCGTATTTTTTTTTATCTATTTAAACATTAATGCATTTTTACAGAACTAAATTTCTTTAAGAAGGACGCTTTGTATTACCGCTGTGCGTGGAAAGCCAGTGTCCCTAGTCAAAAGAAAAAGTAACCAGAAGAATACAGTCTGTGAAAACAGACCAGAGTTATTAAATTCCCACAGCCGGTCTTGCCAGAAGAGGCTCTGAGCCTAAAGTCTTCCGTGTTTGTGTTAAGGAGGGAAATTAGGGCACAAACTCATAAATTTTCTAAAAGTCGTTGAGTTCTACACATAAAATGGGTGAATTTTATGGTGGGTCAATTATACTTCAAAAAAAAAAAAAAAAACTGTTAAAAGGAGAAAAGAGTTTACCAAGTGGTAGAATTACTGAAGATCATCCCCAGTCTGAGGCTTTCTCTTTGGTGTTCTCGGAAGGACTGATGGAGACTTTGGAGTACAGAAATGTCCTCAGCCAGTTTTTTAATAAATAATTACTGAACATGTGCCAGGCGCTCTTCTGGGTGCTTTAGGATATGTTGGCAAAGAAAGTGGACATTCTAGTGCAGGGAGGTGACAATAAATAATAAACATAACCCATTGCGTAATTATCTAGTATGTTAGAGGTCTATAAGTGCTCTAGAAAAAAGAAGAAACCAAACAGAGCAAGATGATAGTGATTGTGAGAAGCAGAGAACATCCCCCTGAGGAGGTGTTCTTTGAGCAGAGACTTGAAGGAGGTGAGGGAGGGAGCCTGGTGGCTCTCTGAGGACCAGCGTTTGGGCAGAGGGACACTCCAGTACAGACTGTGTTCATGGTTAGTTAAGGGAGAGTCTGGCCGGAGCGGGGGAGCTGAGGCTGGGAGTTACAGCAGGTAAGATGCTACGTGAAAGGTTTGAAGGTCCCTGCAAAGGACAGGACTTCCCTTTTCACCCAGTGGGCAATGGGGAGCCATTCAGGGATTTTGAGTAGGGGAGACACAATGTATCTGGAAACATTGCCATGATTTGAAGACCCAAAAGCAAAGGAATTCTGCCTTTCAGGGGTGTATTAACCACTTCTGTTGCTGGCCGAGCCCGGGCCGGCCTTCCTTTCCTTCACTGTGCCTGATCAGTGTCCCATGTCCTCTGCCTTCTGTACCTACCACGGACATGGTTGCTGGCCAGAACTGCGGGAAGGGCAAGTGTTGATGGACCTGTGACCTCACCGAATTAGGCTTGGGAACAAAGTTAGGTCTTTCGCCATTTTAGGGGTGAAGAAATTCTACTCTGGAAGTGTGGTTATTTTGTTCTCTGAAGTGTTATTTTAGGAGGTGGGCCAGGATGCTCTCATTCACACGCACATGGACTCTTTTCTTCCCCGTCCGTTCTGGTCTTTGTCTGCAACTCTGATGTTTTGTTATCATCAGTGGGTTGGGGGAATCTGTAAAATCACACTGCTCATCTACTGGGTTGGCCAAAAAATTCATATGCTTTTTTTCCTCCAAAATATAAAAGACACATTTTTCATTTTCACCAGTAACTTTCTTGATTTGTATATTTTAAGTATGTTGCTATCTCCCGCGTGGTATAAAGGTGATTGTTTCATTAATGTCTTAATTTTATTGCTATCAACTTCAACTGGTCTGCCCGACCATGGAGCAGTGTCCAGTGAGAAATCTCCAGCATGAAACTTTGCAAACCACTTTCGATGTGCTTGATCATCTCCATACACTGCACAAGTCCTTTTTTTCCTTCTTGTTTTGCATTTCAGTTGCATTTTTACATTTCTTGAAATAATAAAGCATAATATGTCAAAAATTTAGCACATTTTCTTCCGTCTTCAATATTAAAATGGCTACACAAAAATTGACCAACTTTGATTTCCTTTTTTAATGCATGCCGTTATGACAGCTGTCACAATGCAGTCTAACAAAATTGTTGCGAATGCAGTTGAAGACAACTAAACACTAACCAGAGCCATCTTATGGGAAAAACCAAATGAACTTTCTGGCCAACCCGGTGCAATATTGTCATCTGAACGCATCTGCCTCAGAGCAGCCGGCTGCTTTTGACATAGTGTACGTCAGCAAGGCGGGGGCCCTTAGCCCTCGGACAGTAGTCTGCGACTGAATAGAGCGCGAGAACCTGCGTCTAAACAGCATGTGTTCCAGTCCTCCCCATCCCCCAGCCTCTGAGTCTTCAAGGACATCTCCTTACTTAAGAATTAAATCCATATGTCAGGGCACATCATCAGATACTGTTCTTTCGCCGTCCAAGTTGGCTGGGGATCAGGCGCTTGCAGGTTTAGTCTCTGCTTTGTCCGATTGTCAAAGCATAAATGTCCATAATAGTTACCCTGGGCCCTTGTTGTTTGCTTTTCCCTTCCTTAAAGGCCATGTGCCTTTGCTAGACTGATTACAGGGTGAAGTCTCTTGGTTTTATAAGCTACAGGCTTTCAGGCTGTGTGGGTTTAGAAGTGGCTTGTTTTCCTTGTCTTAGATGGTTTCTAACTAAGCAATTTGGGAACTTTGGGATTGGAACTGAATCCACAAGAAACTATTTTTTTTCTAATTTAAGATGTTTAGGAAAGATTTTTGTTATAAGAAGACTCTTCCTCTGTGTTACTTGAATAGGTTGTTTTCCTTCTTTAAAAACGTAAAATGTAGAATCCAGTCTCTTTACCCAGCAAAATTCCCTTGGGAGCCTGTGTTAGGTAATGACCCCCTCCAGATCTCAGTTCTGGTCGGAGCTCTTTGGAAAGGGACCTCATAGGGTGGCTCCTGGTGGGTCAGACCTTTGCATCTCTCTCTGTCTACTGTATTCCTCAGTTATATAACAAGATATTAACCCCACCGACTATGTTCACACGTCTTGTGAAGGAACTTCATGAGTTGACCCCGGATCGAATAAAGAGCCCAAACTAACCTGAGAGAGGAGCAAGTAGGTGACATTTGCTTCCCTGTCAGAGTAATGGAACGATTTGTAACCTTAGGGTGATGTAGTTGCTCAGAAATAGGAATTTGGGATAAGCTTTGCTCTCTTCATGCCGAAGTGTCCAGTGACCAAGAAGTTTCATGCAGGCAGGTGGACTGTGTTCCTTCCTCCCCTTCAGACTTTTCCTAGACATTTCTAGGATGAGAGCTTCTCCTGATTCATCTTTTGTTTTGTTTTTTTCTTTTGGCTTTTCTTTTTGGCAGGTGCAGGTTAGTTAAGAGGTTACAGGGTTTTTGTTTTTGAGCCACAGGTATGAAACTGACAGTGTTAGGAACATGTTTTCATTTTCCTCTGGTGAGCCAAGATCCTGCAGGGTCCCTCAGTTGTCGCCATGCCTTCTGATACCTGTGGGCATGATCATGAATTTCCGTTACGTGCAAGACAGGAATCTGGGAGTCTGGCCGTGAGCGTCATGAACTCCGAGAGCTGCGGTCTCCCTGCTGCTTACATCTCGGGGGGTCAGCGCCTCCCATGAGGGGCTCTTGGCCGCTGTCAGCAGCTCCCCTCCTGAAGGCCTGTCTCTGATTTCTGCTGTGGTTGTTGTGAGCCTCTGAAACAGAAGGACTAGCCTCTGGCAAGGGGTCGAAGTCCCTCCTCCCGTCACGGCCAGAACCTCAGCTGTCCGTCAATCTGGTTCGATGGCTCTTTAGCCCTAAGGGAGGAAGAAGGCCCCACTCTGTGCTGAGTCCCCCCGTTTGGTTTTGGTGTGGTGTTCTCCCCCCCTGCCCCTTGGCTTTCCTGTCTTATCTCTAGAGTTTGGTGGTGGCGTGGTAACTCAAATTCTGGATCAAGAAGCTGGATTTTTTTTTTTTTTTTTTTTGCCTCCGTAATTAATTTTAAGAAAGGAGCCAGCTACTCCTCTTTGGCACTGGGGGACCTGCTGAGGGTGGCATTTGATTACAGTCCTGTAATATTTTTGTCTACAACATTGAAATGGAAGAGTTAAGCTATGGGGTGCAGAAAAAGCCATGCCAGTGGATCTGAGGCCCGCGAAGATTGTGTCTCGTGGGCAACACTTTGACTCAAGAACAGAACTCGGTCGGGAGTTTTCATTGATTGGCTTCAGTGCAAGAGGGGTGGCCATGAATTGGCATGGATGTTAGACATTTTCCTGCTCAGACAACGTGACTGGGAGATCCTTGAAGACAGTAAGTTCCAGGCCTTGTGACCTTGTTCAATTCCTAGTCTTATCCTCTAGCAAGTGCCTGGCATGTAGTAGGCTGTTCATTATTAACCCACTTAATTCTCACTGCAAACCTATGTGGTTGTTATATACTTATCTTTATTTTACAAATGACATGGCTATTCAGTAGGGGTGGCCAGTTTTGAGTTGACCCCAGAGCCCTTATTTTAATGATGACACTATTTGCCTCAAAAGAGTTGCACAACGAAGCAGGAAGATGAAATCATTATTTACTAAAAAGAATGGGGTCTTTTTTTGCTACCTTGTTGGATAGCTGTCTCCTTATGTCTGAGTTTTAATTTACTGGAATCCAGAAGTTACTGGACCCTGATAGGTGAATGAACTAGTTACACATGATCCAGTTACTAGATCATGACTAGTTCATCACTAGAATGAACTAGTTACTTTATTTCCTGGGATACCATAGTTGCCAAGACTTATGTTTTGTTCTTATTGATGGAAATAACCAGCCCAAAGACACAAAAACTTTAAAAAAATCTTTTCAACTCTTCCTAACAGAGGGTTTGGTGCTTTGCTGACTGTTTATTCCTGTAGCATAAACCAATTTCATGTCAAGTCTATTAAAGAGAACTCTTTTTTTTTCATTTAATAAATGATGTTGTTAATCCTATACCTTCAGAGAAGTTGAACTATATATACTTGTATTTATTCTGCTTTCAAAGCAGTCAAGTTCACTTCTGTTAACCACTGTCTTTTGTACCACAGGTAAGGCTTAGCAACCATTGTCTTAATGTTGTCTACATTTCTTTTTTTTTCTTTTTCTTTCTTTTTTTTGTTTAAACAACTTTAACCGAAATCACTTCTCCATATCAAACATCTAGTTAATGTAAACTAAAACCCTTTCATACGACTTGGTGTTCTCAGGTTAGTTATTTGAGTCATTTTCACCATTGTTCAATCTTCGCAAGTTGCTTTTGTTTGCTTCATGAAGGTTCAACATGGATAAACAAACACAAAAATTCTCTGTGGGAACAGGTGGAGATTATAATAGCTCTGTGCCCGTGTGTGGGACATGATTACATTAGCAAAGCCAGATGACCCGATGTTAAGCCATGAAAGCTTTACATTTCTTGAGAGGGCAGAGGTACAAAGCATTTGGGGATGAATGGAGTTGTACTTTGATGGTAAAATTTGACTTTCCAGTTAAGGTGCGTGATAGGAGGCTTGGAAAATAGATAGGAAACAATTTCTTATCTTTTCAAAGCTTTACTTAACCTCTCATGTATATACATGTAGGGTATTTCAGTTGCAGGGGACAAAAAAAAAAAAAAAAAAATTCACCACCTGAACTGGTTTAGGCAAAAAGGGCTGCAGGAATAGCTTGCTCAAGAGTCAGTTGATGTTACCAGGACCCAGCTTTGATCTCTTCCTCTTGTAGCTGCTTCCTCGATTCTCCCCGTTCTGCAAGACTGGTTGCAGAATCCTCTTCCTGTTGTCTTCTGACAGTCTACAGTCTCAAGACTCATTCTGATTAGACCCAGGCCTATTTCCCCTAAATCCAATTCTGTCGTGGGGCGCTGACCCGTGGAATCAGAGCGGGAGCTCTGCCCGACCACATGGACTGAGACTGGGGAAGGGAGCGCATTGCCAAATGAATAGAGGGGCTTGGCTTGGATAGAAGGAGGAATGCTACGGAGGCAAATAATACACACTCACCACAGTAGACTCCTGGAAGGAAAAGAAATTGTTAGTGTTTTTGCTGCTCTTTGGACCTGCTGTCACTGCCCTCAGTTGAAAAACGACAATTTGAATGGCTCTGTCGGGTGAATGGATGCACGCGTTCGTGGTTAAGTTCGTATAGTTCAGTTGCATGGGTCGGCATTGTCCCCAGCTCCTCCTGACCCATGGGTAAATTCCTTATTTAAATCTAAGAAACTTAATAGCAGCATCTCCTAATATGTGTCTTGAGTTTTGCTCTTAATGCTAATCTTTAATAAAGATCTATAATAAAAACATACTTTGTGTGATTATATCTTTCCCATCACACCTAGCGCAGGAAAGTGCTGTGTGTTCTAGGATCCCAGTATTTGTTGTTGATAGATGGATAGCTTCCTCACATCTGACTGATAAATGGGACTGAAAATCCCTCCCAGCCTGAGCTGGGTCGTCTCACTGAGCATCAAGTCTGTTCTTTCCTGGCCCTGCGGAAATGCTCAGGAGACCCCAGGTTCCAGCAGACACTGGCGGACTGAGCTTTTCTCCCCTGTTCCCATCCTATGGCTATGAAGTTCCTGGAGGAGAATTGAGGGATGAAGTCATTGTCTTTGACTTTCCGTCACAGGACATGATATAACCACCACTTGGTCTTTACGGTCCACAGGTTGAGTTCGAGTGGCTGAGACAGTTTTGGTTTCAAGGCAATCGCTACAGCAAGTGCACGGACTGGTGGTGTCAGCCCATGGCCCAGCTGGAGGAAATGTGGAGGAAGCTGGAAGGCGTGGTAAGTCCACAGGGCCTGCGAGAGCAACCTCTGGGAGAGGGCACTCTATGCGTTCTCCGCCGCCTCATTTGCACAGGTGAAGACATACTTAACTATTCTAAATTACTGAGTTAGGTTACTTTTAGTAAGGCCACGGAGCGGCCAGGATTTTGTCTGTGGCACCTCGGTTCAGTGGGAGGAGTATTTTTTGAACATTTCCTCCCTTTAAGGCACTGTTAGACGCTCTAGGAAATGACGATAAAGGGAGAACAATGTAACAGTAACACCTAAAATTTATTTGCCTTTTTATATGCACCAGGCATTATTCTAAGGGGTGTCCCTCTATTAACTTTTCAAATTCTTACAACAGTCCCATGAGCTGCAGAAATGGTGAAGAGCCTTCATTTATAGACATGGAAACCGAGGCTCAGAGGAGTGATTGCGTCCCCCAAAGCCCCCCAGCGAGCGGCGTCGCAGGGTTGCAGCCGGGCGGCCGGGCTCTACAGCTTGTGCTCATGCCCACGGCCTTCAGGGGAGCCAGGAAGGGGACAGAGGGATAGCCAGGCATTACAGTAGCATCAGCGGAATCCCGTAATAGGCATTTTTGGAAAATCCCAGTCCAGAGGCGAGAGTATTGATTTTAGACCACTGGACCTGGGCTTGTTGCTCAGTGGCAGTCGTGGCTTTGGGGACCTTGGGTGGGGAGGAGTAGAGTCGGAGAGGGTATTTGGAGAGGAATTTAGGCTCCAGGAACTGTATAAACAAGATCAGAAGTGGGGGCGTAGGATGAGACACGGACCTCAGGGGACGTGGTAGGGAATCTAATAGCTGGAAGGCTACGTGGAGGGCTTTTGAATTAAGCCTTAATTTAACTAATAGAAATAATAACAGATACTTACAGGATACTAAGGGCCAGCCACAATTCTAAATGCTTTAAACATAACTTATTAAATTTTTAAACAAGCCCATAAAGTAGGGGCTATTTTTTTCCCATCTTTTTTGGGAACAGTGTCCCCAGCAAACAAGAACATTGAAGTGCAAAAGGCCTACATCATCTTCTAAGGTGGGAGCTGGGATTGGAACTCAGGGTGTTGGCTCGGAGGTCATGGCCTCTGCCGCCTCACTGTCCCGCCTCCACACAGTTGAATTTGCAGGGCCGTGAAAAAGTGACAAATGCCCGAGAAACTCTGGAGAGAGCGTCGCTGCACAGACTTTGAAATGTGCTGGAAATGACGAACTCTTCTGCAAAAACGGGTTACCTGTTGCTAATCCCCATTTTATCATAATGACAACATCAAGCCACAACCCTGGAGGGGCCCCCGTTGGAAAGTCGGGATCAGATTCAGAAGTTCCTGCTTTCCAGCTGACTCCCCAGATCAGTAAACCTTACCTTCTCATGGATATATGTCTGAGGAAGCAGTGCGAGAACCTTTTGGAACACAGAAAGTATCGCAGAAACGGAGCTCCAAAGAAATGAATCAGTGCAGCACCGAGCATCGTAAACCTGAGCTGGAGGTCATGGAAAGCCCATGCCTGACCCTCTTCCATTGGTGCTGTTCCTCCCATTCACCTGTGTTGCGTGGGCTCCGTTTTTATGGGATGTGTATATAAGGGCAGCTTCAATTTCAGGCCATGTATTTTTTCATTCTGGCTTCATCCATATACATCTGAGTTAGAACGTCTTTCTTTGTGGAAGCTTGATTGTCGGACATCAGCCTGACCGTGGGGTTGTAATTTGACAACTATGAATTAGAACTGGCAGACAGACGAGGAAGGAGCTCACTGATTTTGTTAAAAATGTTTTTCAGTTGCTTTTTCTCATTTTTTAAATTTTTTTTAAGTGATATCTTTGGTATTGTGAGCTTACCAGCGATGTTCATTGTGTATTCACTTAAGAGTTATAATGTTTTTAAAAAATTTGGTGGCAATGGCCCATGAGGTGGAATATCTTCTATTTATAACGCTCGTGTAAAAAATACTGAAGAAGAAGAGCGCTCTTGGGAATGGTCCAGAGCGAGTTTGCTTGCAGCCGGTGTGGCGTTACTAAGTGTTCGGAGTGAAATGAATGGCCTCAGTGTCTCACAGCGAGCCTAGGGATGATCACTATCAGCAGAGGGAAGGTTTGGGCCGAGATAAAAGGGATGGTGCTTCTAAATTAAATTTAAGCAATTGCTTCAAGCCTTTTTTAATGACTTTGAACAACTACATAATAATTTATTTTTGCGATTGGAGGAGACAAAGAGAAGGATCCTTGGAACAGTCTACGCCTCTGTGGCTCTGTTTATGCAGGGCCATCTGGTATTTGTGCACCGGCAACTGGCTGGTTCAGTTCCTGCTTTGCACCAAGCCCACCTCGTGTTTTTTTCAGTTGCAATCAGTAGGGGGCAATGTTGAGCTGCCAGTTGGAGGCCCCCAAATGCTAGCCTTTGAGGAAAATGCATACAAATCTACCATTAACTGTCAAGAATTATCCCTGTTGCTTCAAGTTAGCTGTAATCTCCAAGATTCCATAACACAGGAAATCAGTTGTGGGTTAACAAATTCAACAGCAATTTAACATAAAAAGTGCAGAGTTTGGTGCACATTTGGATTCTATAGAATTAGACTAATCTAAACGGCATTTCTGAATGCACTCACTTTGCTTCCAGGGAATATATTACTCAAAATTATTATCCTTTTAGACAAATGATTCTTCTTTATCTTTATGCTTTTTTTTTTTTTTTGACTTGTAAAATCATGTGTGTGTTGTGGAAAGACTTCTCTAATTAATGTCTTTTGTCTGTTCTGCAACCTAGCATCGATCTCTTTGGGTGAGAAAATAAGACAAAAAACCTGAGGCCATATGCACATTACTTTTCCCCTCCAGCTTATGAGTAAAGCAACCTTTGACAGCCCCCGTATCAGCGAAGAGACTAGCGTCATTTCTCTCTGTCTTTGTGTTCTTTTTTTCACTTCGTGGCTGGAAGGTGTAGTCTCAAGTAGGAGAGAGAAGAACGGGAAATGAGCTTTGAAATCGCATTTCTGCCATTAGTGGTAATTACTTCACATGTCATAACAAGTCACAGATTTCAGAAAGTTGAGTCAGCTGTCTCTGCAGCTCCCCCCGCCCCTGCTGCCCATCTTTGGACCGAGCAAGCACCGTTTTCTATCGCGCTGTTTATTATTGCCATTCCTCTCCCTGAGGACAGTTTTACTCTGGGCACGCTCTTGTGATGTAAATGTTAAACCTTAGATTTGAATGACATTCTGATAAAATATCACATTTCCCTTGAATATTTATCACGAATTAAACCCAAAGCAACATAACGTCTCTTATAACCCAGGAATTTAGCCTAACCTTTCCTCTCATCCTGCTCTCTATTCAAGAAGGTATTATACCACTGGAACAGCATTCAAATATTTGTATTTTATTTTATTTTATTTTTTTTAAACGAGCCTACCACCCCACCAGGCTCCTCAGGATAAGAGAGAGTTACCATTTGAAAGAGACTGTACAAGCTGTGCTTTCTGGGTAAAGAGAAATATGAAAAGCCGAATCTCCTGTGAGGTGAGGAAGTCTTGCTGCAGCCAGAGATTCAGCGGATAGGCCCGTCGTCTCTCAGGGTCTGGTATCGCGCTTCGCAAAACTGACATTTATTTTACCTATAAAATGTTTTAACACAGTCACATTCACAGTGATATAGAAGAGAATGCTAGGTGTGGTGTCCTTTAAATTGATGACATTTGTTCACTTCCTTTTGACCTTAAACAAACAAAAAAAGCTTAATTTGGTCTAATCCAATGAAAATATTCTAGAAGAGTTCCCAGATTAACATTTTTGGGAGTATAGATGATTTCTACACTGGAGAGGAATATCTTTGTGCTTTTTTCATTGCTTTTTATTCTTTCGAAGGAGAGGAGTGGACCCCAGTGGCTTTGGATGTTTTGAATTGCACTTCCTGTGCTGACCGTTCCTCCGGCCGCGCAGCCATGCGCTTCTGTGGCCCTCGGCCTTCCTAACCTGCATTGACTTCAGTGGGTAGGAGCCAAGACTGGATTATTTTTAATGTGTCCGTTTTGGAAGCAGTGTAAAACACAACATATAATTATGTTAGGTAAGCCATCGGCCACGTTTAACGTTACCCGTTTAGGTTGAAATCTGGCACATCTGAGCAGGAGGTGTGGAAAGTGAGTAGGTGTTTTGTTTAAAATCATTCCCCATGTCTTGTTGCTAAAGTTGTAAGAGAGAAAGGTGCTTCAGAACTTGAAGTTTGGCCTTTACAAATCAGTTAGAATAGGCTCATTTCAAGATGAGCCGGGCCTTTGTCCTTGTTCCTTTGGCCTGTGTGAACCTCCTGGAAAACCTCACGCCTGGAGCCTGCGCACTGTGGTCGCGCCGAGCCCCGAGCCCCGGCTCCGCTCTCCTTGTGGGTTACCCAGTCGCAGGGAGGGGCTGAGCCCAGGAGCCGCCTGTTTGTTTTTGGAGAGATTAATGAAGCTCTCATCACAGGGCTTTAGATTGAAATCTCTGTAACTGAGTAGAGGAACAAGGCTGCTTTTTCATATGTGTATACCAAGAACGCTGGCGTTTGCTTTCATGTTATAGTTCAGTGAGCCAAGTTCATTTTAAACTTTCTTTTAGGATTGAAGATTTTTGGGGAGGGGTATGAGGATGAAAGTGGATAAATAGTTTTTTTTGCCCATATTGATGATGAACTCACCAACTTATATATATATGTATATGTATATATATATATGTATATATATATATATGTGTGTGTGTATGTGTGTGTGTGTGTATTTGTCTATCCCCTGCTTAGTATTAATGGATATACCAAATTATATTTGCTGACATAACCCTGTCTTCAATTTTCCAGAGTTAACATTTCTAATATTGGAGCAAGAATATATTACAGTAATTTAGGATCTGGTGTGAGCTGTCTAGTGGTTTTAAATTAAAATTTAAATTCCCTGCTCCCCTTTTAGATGAGTACAGTGCTGAGTGGCTCAGGATACGCACGGCTTGAAGGCAGGTAAACAGC